TTCATTCACGTGTCAGCTGAAATTATTTCTGTTTTTAAGTTAATAAATAAAATGAATATTTTAGAGAGATTTTCTTTAGGTCAGAGCACAACGTTTTATGTTGCTGTTGTATTGTATTGTAAAGCACTCAAAGTCTGTGTACTGTAATCGGGTTTGAGCGCTATATTAATGTTATTTATTTATTTGTTATTATTATTATTATCATTATTACTATGATTAGTATTACCATTATTTATTATTATTTTTATTATTATTATTATATTATTATTATCGTGTCGTTTTTCCTGTAGAAAAATAACGATTCTTTTGACCATGAAATTGAAATATTAAGTAGTTCACAGATTTTTTCAGCAAAAACGTCTCTTTTATGTCTGAAATTTGACGACAGGGGTAAAATTCAAAAGTCGTGTGATCCCCTTGTGCATTCAGCATATCAGTGCAATCCTGCTCAAAGAGTACATTTCTTCCTGCAAAATGTTGTTTCAGGCTTGTTGCTGCTTTAAAATAGCTCTGGGGCCAGGATTTACGTCACAAGCAACACAATTTTTCTGTCCCACAAGGGTTAAAATCGGGTGAAATGGCAAGCCGTAGATCCATTACAGCGACATTATTTTTTTTAATTCCGAGTGGAGTGCACGGTACATTGTCCTGTCACGGCCTGATTGTGTTGTTGAAGAAATGCTAGATAAGGCCCATGTGGTCTTCTGTACACTTTTATACTCCCATCGGCGGTGTAGCTATGACCAGTTCATCCAAGGCTGACGGTGTTTTTAGCTATAAACGCATTCTGTGTGTAGGCACCCTAGCTTTAATATTTAATTCCTATAGTCCGCGACGAACAGTATCCTGGCTGACGGCTGAGCAGGAAATTGTCTTGCGGTTTGTCCTGAAACGATTACTCAGGTGCACTGCCCTGATATAATATCGGTCTAGGGTTGGCACTGTTACCCTTGAACGGCCAGTTCGCGGTCGGTGTTGAAAAGGCTGTCACAGAGTACTGTTGACTCATATTGGTAATTGTGAATCACAATATACTTATTTTAGAGCACAAACAACAATGTTCACCTTTTGCACAAAGTGTGCCATAAGATAAATAAACCAAGCCGTAATAAGTTACAACCCTTTTACCTTGACCTTTTGTTTCTAAATATTTACGATTGTACTACCCGTTTTAACACTTAGATCTATCAATTTTTTGTCTCTCCTGTAAAATTTGCCTTTCTGCATGTAGCCGGCTTGTGAATAACATCAACGATACTAAAAACCAACAGTCATATACCAAAACGCAAAAAAACGTGTGCAACTCGTAGTGCGAGTGGGAAATGCAAAAAAAATCCCTTTCCTCGACAGAAAAAAATTATGATAGAAAAAGGAAAAGGTATAGGTTCAACGCGCTTACCAACACTATTAGGTTATCTAAGGGGCGGGACCTCCTAGTTTAACGTCCGTCTCCGAAAGGACCGAACCAAGTGGGAAGTTCGTGTAAAGTGCCTTTCCCAAGGACACAACGTCGGACCGAGCTGAGGCTCGAACCCCCGAACCAGCAATCTCACAATTACGAATCCGGAAGCCTAACCACAAGGCCACCGCGACGCCACTAAATTATGATAGTATAGACAAACATATTATAGGCAATGGATAGTACTTTCATTAAGCTTTCATTTAAGCGTATAGGCTCGATTGTAACCAACAAATTAGCGGAGAAATCGGCATTTGAACGGGACTACTCTCAATTGTCCCCCGATTCCTCGATAAACGCGAGGCCGCCTGGACACCCCTCTCAATATTCATGAAAGTCAAGGCTAGATGTGAAAGGGAAATAATCGAGGAAAAAGGTTATGAGGAATAGGCTTATTAAGAGTTACACCTTTCCCCCGAACAAATGCAACAATTAGAGTTCATATACCAAAATTGTCAAATTAATTCGAAACAGATAGTTCAAATTCAATAAAATATAAAATGTAAGCAAATGTCATCTGAATGATGATAATAGGAAAGCTCAAGTCACTAGAGAAATCATATTTTTCTGGGATTGTTCATTCGAGCGCTATGTTCATGTGGTTGGAGTATAGGCTTGGATTTGGAATCGGGCTTGGACGGCTTCATGTTTTCCTCCCGGACACGATTGCTCAGCGCAGTTCTCTCTGACATTGTTTTTAGTTTAGTTTTAGTAAAGGGTTTACGGCGCTCGCAACTGCATAAGGTCATATGAGCGCCAGAAGATTAGAGGTGTTACAAGAGAGTAACAAACATAAAAAAGAAGAAGGGGAGATAAGGACGATAGATGTTTGATAGGAAAGAAGAAGCAAACCACACCAGAGCACCAGCCAACCACCCACTCTCAATTGGTCTAAAGGGGGTACTCCGAAAGAAAGAGGACAATGTAACGAAATCAGTTTAAGTGTGTGATCAAAATGGTTCACATTTTTGGAAATTGAATTTTAGAAATTTAAAACACTTCTTTTAATCTATTATCATGTTTAGGCTCTGAGAACGAAAGTTGCGTTTTTAATGGCGTTCAGTATATTCTTTAATGTTGATATATATCATATTACATATAATAAACTGTATAAGACTATTAATATACCAAAGCAACCTGCCGTGTCCTAGCTGAAGGAGAACTGTCCACATATGTTGAAGTAAATATTGGAGTTAGACAAGGCTGTATACTATTACCTGTACTTTTTGGAATTGTGATTGATTTTTAATGAGACTGAGCCAAGACATTGAAACAGGCATTAGGTGGACAAATGGTACATATTTAGGATAATTATGCGTATTAAACCTGCCTAATACGCCTTAGTACATGGAGTGCAATTAAAAACAAATCAATTAGCAAGGGCTGCTTGGAAAAGCTGGCCTTGTAATAAATTTGTCCAAAACAGAACTGCTGACATTATCACCAGAAACTACCCCCACCACTCTTTGTCTGTCCCCGCGGTTTTATGTTTTAAAAAAAAATTCTGAAATTATGCAAACTGAGCCCAAAAAATGTGAAATTATGACATTCTGTTAATTTTAACAAAGAATGATAAAGGAAAATAATCAGAAATTATGCAAAAAATGATCACATTTTGCTAAATTATGCGGGGTGCATAAAACCCCGGGGACAGCTTTATGGAGAACCTCTTGCGGAAAATAGTAAATTCCAGTATATTGGCAGCATTATCTCCAAAACTGCAGACTGCTTTGACGATTTCCACCAAAGACGTTAAAAAGCATGGATCGCTTTTGTAAAATGATATTTAAAAAAAAAAAACATCTGGATGTCAAAGATCATTTCATTGAAGACGAAATTTAAAATGTATTATAGCAATATAATAATATGATAGCAATGTTTTGTTGCCAAAATGACATCTTATGGTTCGGAGATATGGAAAGCAAACAAAGCAATTCCAAACAAAATGTTTTACTAAAATAGTTGTTTCAGTTCAAATATACATATAACAAATTCAAAGATCGCATAGAAAGACCAAATTACACCTAGCAAATCCAAATAAACAAATGACGTCATAAAAAGTCATAATACAACACTAACAAGTTCAAATGTAAACATAGAAATCTCAAATGTAACACATAGCAAATTCAAATGCCACATAGCAAGTGCAAATGTAAATATGCTTGAACTAGAGTAAAAGAATGGAATTAATGTATTGCAAATAAAATTACAACGTTCTATTTGCTCAGTACCTAGTTTTCACAAACTTGACGTCAAAACGATTGAGTTTCACAACATGTCAAGCGTTTACGAATACAGTTCTTTAAATATCTTGATAATGACTTCGAATAATCTTATAATTTTATGGAGCAGATAGAGCATTTTGTTTCAGACCTCGTGGTCTTAGTGACTCAAAACAGCCAAAACTGAAAGATAGAACTTTGTAATTTCATGTAGCGAAGTGTTGGAAAGAGATGGAATTAAAGATATTAACACGACCATAATATAAAGGAGAAGATGGAGGTATTTAGTACATGCACTAAGAATGCCGAAGACGAGATTACCCATGGTAATTCAAACATGATCAAACATGGTATTCGAGACTAAGTGGACAAAGAAAAAGAGGTAGACCAACTGGAAGCTATAGAGGCACAATAAGGGCCTGGACGTTACGAAATTGGAGAATGTGGCCAAGGACTGGCAAGCGTTGCGTCGAGTGCTCTCCGCCTTATGTACCTGACGGTATAGGGTGAGAGTAAGTTAGTAAGTATAAGATAGATAGATAGATAGATAGATAGATAGATAGATAGATAGATAGATAGATAGATAGGTAGATAGATAGATAGATAGAGAGATAGATAGAGAGATAGATAGAGAGAGAGATAGGTAGGTAGATAGATAGGTAGATAGATAGATAGATAGATAGATAGATAGATAGATTAGTTACACTTTATCTTATATTAGTTGCTTGTTGTTGGAGGTTTTCAGATGAGTCCCAATTTGAACTGGAACGACACAAGGAACAGCTGGACAAACTCTACAGATGGCCCAATCAAAGGTATACTCAAGCTTGCAACATATGATTTCTTACCCGCTTTAGGCTGACATCAAAGAAAACGTGTCGGAACCTCAGCCTGCTCTCACTTTTAAGAATAGACTTTAAGATTATGTTGGTTATCCAGCTTTTAGACCCGTATGCAAAGATCTGAGATTAAAAAGAGTGACTTCATTTTACCCTGTTCAAACCGCGGTCAGACGAAAGTGAACAAGCTATAGTTGTCGAGTTATACTCTCTGAGAATGTGTTAAGTTGAAAATATTAAAGAATGTGCTTGTATGTGATTTATATTTATTATTATTTATATATATATATATATATATATATATATATATATATATATATATATATATGTTACATAGACCGGGCTAAAGTTTGGTGACGCCCATTTCAGTTTTATAACATGTGCAGGCTGTTCTGAGTCACATTTCGCGGCCCGACTAAGCCCATCAAACATATCCAACTAGACGAGTAAATATTCACATCCTCTAAAACATGTCTTTCGTCATCTTGGCCCGCGACCGTACACCTGCATGCTCCTCAGAGTGGCGCCTACAGCTGAATAGGCCGGGATTCCCTGAGAAATAAAAAAGCCAAATCTAAAGACGATAAAAAAATCAATTTTAAGTTTTTAAAAACAAGAAAAAAAGGTTAGTAGAGGAAGGTAGAACGTTATGTACGGTCGCTGGTGCGCTGGACCCTCATATACACATTCAAAGATATACTCAAAATCAATGACGGTTCGAATTCAAACACCAACAGCAGCAACACTGCTTATATTAATTGTAGAATGGTGCATTTTTTTCATGGCGCAAGAGAAAAACAAGCAAAACAAAACAACAAAACACACAGACCAAAAACAAACAAAAACAACCAATTTTTAAAAGCCAAAAAAGGGAGCTGGGCTCTCAACAGAACGCTGGGTGGTGAGAAATTCTGACCTTCGGAAAGATTATTGTGGTCAGAAAAAGGCGGACAAAATTCAAGGAAACAGGTAAGTTACCCTGAAGACTGAAGATATATATATAAACTATACACCTTTATGAGCTCCGAGCTGTAGCACATTAACTCATGTAATACTAACAGGCCCATTATGACCATTAAACAGTGCTGTTTTGAGACAGTTTACCCCAGAAGCACAATTTCGTCATTCTCGAATTTTGTTTTGTTTTTGTGTTTTTTTGTTTCCTTTATCTGAAACCTGGCAAGAGCATGCCTACTAGGAAACATACAATACGTGTTTCCGAAATGTGAACGGTGGTTCGAAATGTACCACGTCCTCCATATCTAAAAGGTTTAATACCATGACTTACAGTTATATAGAACTTAAGAAGAAAATAAAAAGTGTCTGCACGACCCGGCTTTGTCCGTGGTTTGGAATTGTGCGCCAAATTCGTATGTGATAATAAGACATCTTTGCCAGTGGATGCGAAAGGCGTGAATTCCATTGCCGCTTGAAGAAAACATAAATTATAATATTATCGAGTGTGTCCACCTGTGCTGGGATTCTGATTCCCACTCAGCGGAAATTACGCCCTTTTCTGAACCTAAATTGTGTCGAAGGGGCCGTAAGAGATGTGTTGTTCGCGATCAAATTGAGTATTATGCTTTAAAATCTTCGACACTATACATTGTAGAACATTTATTGATCTAATGGCCTCCAAAGCGCGCTATCCTCAGTGTGAAAGATTCCACCTTTGAGGTGTGTCATGTGCACACACTATAAGCTTATACCATGGCCTGCAAAGCACGCTATTCTCCCCGTACGCCCTGGGCTCATTTTGTACCCCCGGGGTTGTATTCTTCGCACTTTAGAATATATAGTACGAAGATCTCTTTGAAACTTTCAGCATTTTAAAAAAAATCATTTTGAGAGACTGCTATGTACGGATCGGATTAACGAGTAAACTTCCTCTTCAAAAGTGCTGGCACAGAGTTTCCCACGTCGTATGAATACGATAGTAAAACACGACGTACGGATAGAGTTAACATCTTTGAGATGTGTCATGTACACACACTATAAGCTTATTATACCCCCACAACTCACAGGCATGTAGCTGTAGTCGGAGTAGCTATAGGACCAATCCGGACCTGGAGAGGTGGGCGTTGAAGGTGGTGAGTACAAATCCTGACGTCGTGTATTCCATCGTGGGGGAGGAGACACGGGGATCATTGGGTAGCTCGGTCTCCTGCCTGGGAGTGTGTTGTGGACACAGGAAACAGGACAAACGATTACACGGACTGATTCTCTACAATTTCCTGTGCCCTGATTTTGGTGCTGATTTGTAGGTTACGTAAAATGTATTGACATGGTGCAAATTGTTATGTTTTCTACAAAAACGAAACAAGAAAAAGGGGAATTGTTTAGTCCGTGATGATGATGATGATGATGATGATGATGATGATGATGATGATGATGATGATGATTACTTATGGTGACGATACGACGACGATGCTCTTATGTTGGAAATGTGCCTATTACTCTTAGTGTTAAGTTTCTTTCTTTCTTTCTTTCTTTTGTTTGGCGCTTATTCTAGATACCCGCCGGGCTGTCCTGGGGGGCAGGACACAACCCTCATTCCCAACTCCTCGCATAGAGAGACAAAAAATTTAGAAATAATTCGTCATCTTCATCCCTAGCATTTAATAAAAGTATGCCAAAAAATCACAAGGGGGCCGCTTCTAAGTGATGACATTGTTGGTGTGTTCGTGGCCCTACGTCTATGCTATCATATTTTCTAAACAGGACTTTCTACTTTCAACTTTCGGGCAATAAGTTTACGAGCCATGCCAGTTTTGGTCATAAAAGGACAGAAAAAAAATTAATGTCAGCTGATTGGCTTACTAAAAAATTGTATTAGTTCATAAATTGTTAAACTGCAGCATACGACAACACTACCATTCCCTCAGGAATTAATTTTTTTGAATAAGCAAAACTAGAAACAGTTTCATTTTTTAACACTTTAAAAAAAAAAAAACCCAGAGAGACCAAAATACCAGAATCCCCCCCCCCCCACTCCCACACACGCACACACACACACACACACACACACACACACACACACACACACACAAACACACACACACACACACACACACACACACACACACACACACACGTACACACGCACACACATGTCCTCAACATTCATATAACCACACACATATTATTGTAAGAACGAAATGAATATAAAAATACTGGTATCTATAGATAGATAGATAGATAGATAGATAGATAGATAGATAGATAGATAGATAGATAGATAGATAGATAGATAGATAGATAGATAGATAGATAGATAGATAGATAGATAGATAGATAGATAGGGGGAGAGAGAATTTACCTCTTGGCGGATCTGGCTGTTTGATCAGCATCATCTGCTGCGTCCCTTTCTCCGGGGTAGTCACGGGTATCATAGGGGAGAAGAAGGGTTCTCTGTCGCTCTTGTAAGAGTTCGTGTACTTGGGCTTGTGCTGTGGTGCCTCTTTTTTAAAAGGGGTTGGACTAAAGAGGAGCAATTTGAGAGGAGTTGGAGGAGGCAAAAAAAATAATTTAAAAGATAGGATAAATTCCAGAGTTTTTTAAAGTTTTCGTCGAGTTTTTACGTCGCTCGCAACTGCATAAGGTCATATGAGCGCCTCAATTCCAGTTTATTGATCCACTTGGGAATTTTATTTTACATTGGGGTACATATATAGCCTACACAGATACGTTATAAATAAATTAATGCATTACTAGATACTATAATATGAATGATATACAATATCGCATACATACAGTCAACACACTATTGCCGGTTGCCATTAAGCAGCTCATCGGTTTTTAATCTTGAGTAATGGTGTCATGCTCAAGAACATTTGATAAGATGGAGATGGATTGGGCATGTTCTGAATAGAGAACCAGACTCTATTGTGAAGACTGCCCTCCACTGGACACCCGAAGGACATCAAAAGAGGGGCAGACCCAAAGTGACCTGGAGAATCACAGTAGAGTCTGAAATGAAGTCCTGGAACTATTCGTGGGGGGGGGGGGCGCTGACCAAAATGACCCAAAAAACAGACAGAGCTGGAGATCCTTTGTTGCTGCCCTAAACGCCAGATGGCGAGACGAGTAGTGAGCTGAGCCCAAGAACATAATAATATTATTATGCTACTAACGCATCCATCTTGACGCTGTGTCACCGACACATGCTTGGCATTATTGTGAGACAGAACACTAACAAATCATCAACTGGACGAGGAGGAGGAGGACTCACACAGATACCTGCACGCACTCTCTGTCTATCTCTTTCTTCCCCCCCCCCTCTCTCTCTCTCTCTCTCTCTCTCTCTCTCTCTCTCTCTCTCTCCATCTTTCTCTTTTTTCCCATTTCTCTGTCGTTGTCCCTGTTTCTGTCTCAGAACGGAATCCCCAACAACATCATCATCATCCTGTGCTTTGCCGACTGGCGTTGGCGATCAGGACCTAAGCGTCAATCGGTCACTATTCACAACATACAAACGTACCAAAAAAATGAAGCCACACTTACCTTCGGTACAGGAAAGGAGAATAAACTTCTCGCTTGCTCTTTGGCTTGGGTGACGCCTTTTTTGGAGGTGGGGCTGCGGCTGCATAGATTGGCTTAGGCTCCGGCGGTGGGATGGGCGAAAATTTACTTTGGTAGACAGGCGGAGTTTGGAGTTTTAGTGGGGTTGGTTGTGGGCGGGGCGTTGGTCTATGGTGAGGAGGGGTTGGGATGGGGACAGCTTTTGCGTCTAAAATTGGGGGTGTTATGAGGGGTATCATGTTAGGGGAACGGGCCTTTGATTCACAAGGGATTGTTGTAATCAACAGCGGATGGTATGGAGTGAAGAGGATGAGGTGAGAGGATGGGGTTGGAGGGGTGATGTCAGGAGGGTTGAGTCGGGAGAAGTGGGATTGATTGATATGGGGTAGAGATAGTGCGGGGTGGAGGGGGAAGGGTGGGTGG